ACGCAAGTGAACCGGAATGTCTGCCCACAGAACTCACTTGCTTTTAATGCTTAGGAATATGTATATTCCAGGATTCCCTGTATGAATTAATTAGTCCTGTCAGACATTGCTGTAACACTGTACTAAGTAGAAGCCTAGGTTTAGCTTGAATGAACGTCAACTTCTCTGTGAATTTTGACTGCTAACAATTGCCGGTACCTGGTAGCATTTATTTTCCCTCAGGAAGTACCCAGTGACCTTATAAAGGCAGGGAAGATAGATGCTCCACAGCATTCCTTCAGTTGTGCTGTGTGTTCCTTTTTCTTATCAATTTACAACTCTTCTCTGGAAAAAAGAAGAAAAAAATGTTTTGTGCTTCTTTTTCTTTTTTCTTTGTATGTAAATGTGCAATTATACTGGATTTTTTCTTGTTAAAAAAACAAACAAACAAACAAAAAACACTACAATTCCTTTACTTAAGCTCCTAAACTGCCATTTGCCTGATTCCAGCAAATAATTCTGAGGTAACTTATTGGGCCTCCAGCAATTCTGTTGATTAGATACGGTCCCAAAAGAAGGAGCAAGATAGAAAATGCTCTGTGTATTACCAAATGTGACTGCTGCAAGTCACATGAATTACAGCTCACCAAACACTAAAGTTTGCTCTTGAGCAATTATATAGTTTGATGTCCTTTTAAAAAATAATTTAAGAAAATCTAGGTTTTATCATACTAAAACTTTATTTTATATATGTATATGATAAATGTTTGCTTTTTTAAACTTACTAACATGAAGGATTTCCTTTAATATCTGAAATGCACCTCGTGTTGAAACAGTATCCAACATGGAATCTTATCTCCTTGCTTTGTTTTGGACTTAGTGCTATTTAATATCTGGTGACTTTTATATGGTAAGCCAGGGTCTATCCTGTATACTACAAATACCTTAGGTTTAAGTATTTTTATGCAGTTTCTTCATTGTGTCACATTTTGTTTGTGTATCTGTAGCAGAGCTCCGCTGAGGTTTTTTAATTTGGGGGTGGGGGGTGGGGGGTTGGCTAATAGGGTTGTTCTGCCATTTCAGAAATCAGGGCGGAAAACACCATTGCTGACCGCAGCCATGGGGTCTTGGTCCGTGAGTGTCCTTTAACGGTCTGGAATGTGGCTTTAGTCCTGGCAGTGCCAGGGAGCTCTCCTCACACCTCGTACTGTCGCCTAGTTTGTATATTTTAAAGGTGCAGGCTATGGAAGCAGAAAAAGAATAAGTTGTGCTTTTTATGTGCATAGTATCCATGCAGGGTGCTTGTCTGTGCTTTACCAATGAAATTCTGCAGAAGACATGTTGCTCACTGATAGCTGGAAGTTGTTGTTAACTTTTAAATCTATCTGTGGTCAGAGCATAAATGGTTGGTTTTTAATTCTTGTCCGAAAATGAAATAACTTAAAGCAGCATGGGATAACGGTGGCATTTTTTTTAACCTTAATGTTGGTTCTTTGGTGGAAGAAGCGAACGTAAGATTTTTGATAATCAGCATAAATCTTCAGAAATCGGATCTGTAAGAGGTAGAGGTGAAATCCTGGAGGCCTTCCAGGCCCTGCGCGGGAGGGGGCGTGAGGAGTCCTGCCGCTGGCTGGGGAGGGAGGGGTGGACGGCCCTGTGCTCCTGGCAGGCGGAAGCAGCTGGAGGGAGTGAGTCACTTCTTGAATATCTAATCAGGGCTGGAATTAGGAGTGGGGTGGGCTTTATTTTCATTTTTCTTTTAACAAGTTCCCACCCTATCCTAATTCTCAGAAATTCTCTGGCCTAAGCTATAAAATAGGCTGCTTTTAGAATCATTGAAACTTGGGAGATTTCTGTGTGTTCAAATCAGGAACACATCTAAAAACTAAAAAAAAAAAAAAAAAAAAAGGCAGGGGGAAGGCTGCTCCCAGCTCCCACCTGCCATTTCCCCAGAGTATTTGGAGGCACGCCTGTGAACAATGCTGGGAAACTCACAACATCGAGATGATGGCGGAAAGGACTCAGACAGGGCGGCTGTTGGACACCTTTCTTTCCTGACTCAGGAAGTAGAGTTTCCCTTCTGAGTAGCTCGCTGCAGGGCGTGTTCCAGTCAGGGTCCAGCCCAGATCTGCAGTTTGGAAACAGATGGGCCAGCTGTGTGGAGCGCAGTCTCTGGACTCCCGGGGATTTGTTGCTTGTCTCTCATTTCATTTTAAAACAGAAGGCTCTTCTTTAGTGTTCACCTTAAAGTCAAGGTACCGCCGCATGCCATGTCCCACTGGGATAAGAGCACAAGTTACCGCGGCGTCTTGACAGCTTGGGAAGCTCACACTTGATGTCCTTCTACATTGGGAAGTTGTTTGTGCTGGGCAGTGCAAATTAGACTTGAATTACTTCTTAAAAGGCAGATGTGGGCTTCCCTGGTGGCGCAGTGGTTGGGAGTCCGCCTGCCGATGCATGGGACGCGGGTTCGTTCCCCGGTCTGGGAAGATCCCACATGCCGCGCAGTGGCTGGGCCCGTGAGCCATGGCCGCTGCGCCTGCGCGTCCGGAGCCTGTGCTGCGCGGCAGGAGAGGCCACAGCAGTGAGAGGCCAGTGTATCGCAAAAAAAAAAAAAGGCAGATGTGTCCAGCCCCCTCATTGTCTGAGCTGCTGCAGACATGATCACTTGGAACGACTTCCTTTGGCCTCAGGCCACCTAGAATTGGTCTCTGGTTATTTGTAAACAAACAGTAGAACTTGCTTCCCTTTCCAGATAGGCTCGGGAATAGATACAATTAGACAGCTTTGCCCTATATTGACAAATACGAAGAGTTGGGAATTTGTATATACTGAAATCTACCGACATGTATCCGGGGTGGGGTACAGGGAGAAAGGGGGTTACAGTAGGGTGGGGGGGGTAGTGTTTACCACAGGTACGAAGTAGCCACTTTAACACTGAGACCTCTGCCTCATTGAATTCAGGTTTTTTAAGTACTTGAAACTCCTCAGATTCTCCTTATTTTAGTTATTTTAAAATTTATGAAGCAGAAAGCATTGTTTTGTATATACTGTCTTGTCTCTTACCCTCTTGAACCTGGATTAAAGGCGAAGTTCTGCAGACGGAAGTGTCCACAGTAGTTCTCTCAGACTCAGTGCACACATTCGGGGAAGAGACTCCTGCATGAAATACCAGGAGCATTTATACGAGTGCTTCATATGTATGTTCTCTGTTTTGTTACTTTGTCACCCCTATCCCCGAGCACCTCTTCTTTCCTTTTAATATATGCCTGCGTAGGGGAAAAAAAACAAAAATTTGCACTTATGTTACTCTCCTGAAATGCTGGGTGTAACCTGTGTGTTTCAAACCCATTTCCGTTCTTTTCAGTCCATTGCTTTAAGTGACAAGTTCAGGTTCGTGTGGCACATATGTACAAAGGAGGAAGAGAATTACCTGTCCTTTGGTGGCATCCCAGAGTCATTAATGTGTAAGAAAAAGGGAAAAGATGAATAGTTACCAAAGTCATTTATTCAGTCCTTCGTTTTCTTATGTGACATCACTGCACCTGCTAGTTGGCAAGAAAGCACCCTCGGGTTTCCCTTCCCCACCTGCCACAGACTTCTGATGTGTGTGAATGCCTCTCGGTATCCATCAGATGACCTAAATGAGGGATTCAAACGGTATTCTTGTCAGTTTAGAAGTGGACTGGATAAAATTTACTTTTACTTTGTTGTCACTAATATTGCTCTTTATCTCATTTGTGCTGTCACATGCCCTGTGTTAAAAAAAAAAAAAAAAAAAAAAATCATGTTGCCACTGATAACCAAGATGCTAAATGATGACTACAACTGTTTTTTTTTTTATATACAAGGGGGTGTGTGCATAATTGGAATTGATAGGAGAAATTCATTTGTATCCACTTGTGATATTGCACAACAAAACACAGATACCTACAGATTCTGCTCTCATTTCCTCGTGATCTTTATCTATGATAATTACCTTTGTAGATTGGTTATTTCTGTACTTTATCTGTAATAAACTTTGTAGATCCTGTGAACTGTTATTTTTTGCCTAAATCCCTTGAGACTTGAGTCTTTAATAACAAAGCATCAATATCCACTAAGTCAATCTCTTTTGAGTTTCTGTGACTTGGCTAGAAGCTCTTGACACTAAAGATTAGTGTTCATTTTCCCTGGGGGTATTCCACTAGGGCATTACTGTATAATGACTTGATGTTGCCACATAGACTTCAAGATATATGATATTTTGGGGATTTTGTTGATTGGCCTATGTTTTATTGCATAGTGTGAAACGTGTAAAGCTTGGTTAACCTGTATATAGATAGCTCATTGTTGACTAGTTACGGTGTATTAGCATTGCCTGTAATATTTAAGCTTCTTACTACTGTGTGTGCTGGTAGGAACATATAATTTTTGTACATTATATTTACTGAGATGCTGCCTTTCTTATTTTACAAATACTTTGGAATTCAAATGTGTTTTTTGCTTCCGTGAGGATTAATTTGGAAAGGTTTTTAATGACATTCCACTGATTTCAGATTTTGCTTGAGGTTGACTTCAATAAATTGTCCCGTATGTTGCAAATCAAATATGTGGACTTGTTCATTGCCCGTAATTTCTTGCTACCACTCAGTGGGCAAGAGGCCATCCTGGGCGGGAGGGGACCAGCGCGGGGCCGAAAGACCCAGCGCGTCCACCGCGCCGGCGAGGCCCGCAAGGTCCTGCGGGAGCCCGGCACGTCTTCCCGCAGCACGCGCTGTGCTTCAGGGGACTTGGATCCGGAAATGAGGAGTCCGCGTGGTCCCCGGGAGAGAAGGCCCGGGCCTCGGTAAGGTACACAACGTCGGGCGCGCGGGCGGGCAGGGGACAGACACTCTGGGGCGACCCCTCACTTCCGTCCATCTCTGTCTCAGGCGCTGGGGGCCGCTCTCGCCCCGCCCCCGCCTCGGCCCCGCCCCGCGCCCCCCTTCCCTCGGCGCCGCCACGTCAGCCTAGAGCGCGCGCGCCGTGATGGGGAAGGAGGTGGCGGCGGAGGTGGGCCTGCGGCTCGCGCTGTTCGCGGCCTTCCTGTAAGGACTTGCGCTCCGGCCCCCGGCCCCGCCGCCCGGCCGGGCTCCGCGCGCGCTTCCGGGAAGCCGCCGACGCGCCCGCACCTTTGTGTCCCCTCTAGGGTAACAGAGCTGCTCCCGCCCTTCCAGAGGCTCATCCAGCCTGAGGAGATGTGGCTCTACCGGAATCCGTACGTGGAAGCAGAGTATTTCGCCACCAAGCCGATGTTTGTGCGTGAAGAACCAGCCTTCCTTCTGACCGCACTTCTCACGGAGCCGAACGCTAGGGAGGGAGCGGGCAGGTCCCCCTGGCTCCGCCACGGAGCTGAAGATGAGCCTTCGCGTCGTAACGGTTAAGGGCCAGGTTGAGAGAGAAGTCCGTCCGCTTCGGCTCCAGGGACAGGGTCTGGGGGCGGCTGCTCAGGGCGGCCCGGGGCAACTGGTCGTTGAGAGGAGCGGTGACGGCGGCTCCCACGGGAGCTCGGCGCCCAGCTAGCTGCAGGCAGACCCGGGACACGGCACTTGCGGGGGAGCTGGGAGGTCTGATAGGCCAGTTCTGCTGTCACTTCACCCCTCTTGCTGCGGGAGCTCTTTTCCCAGCTAGCTGTGTGACGTTCTCGGGGCGGCCCTGTTTCCTTTCGCGTGCTGAGCTCTGCCGTGTCCGGCGCAGGTCGTCGCCTTGCTGGCCCCGCTGGCCCCGGTCCTCCTGGCCAGGTGTCTGAAGAAGGCGGACGCAGTGGACAGCCGGCAGGCCTGCCTGGGTAAGCGCGGCCTCCCCAGCGCCGGAAGCAGGAGGCGGGGGGCCCCACGGGGCTTGCGCGGGGGCCGAGTTCTGCGTTCTTCGGGTGACTGTGTCTCCCGGACGCCCCGCCTGCTGCCTGTGAGGCGTGCTCCACGTCCTGGGTGCACCTGCGTGCACCGGACTATTTGCAGCTCCGACGCGTCCTCAGTCCGGGTAGCGCGTTCTCCCTGTGCCACGGCGGAGTGGCCAGCGGGGGCCGGGATTATTCTCACGCTCCGCTCCGGCTGGAGCCCGAGCGCTCCTCTGTCCCCGGAGACCGCGGCTGCGCCTAACGAGACAGGGACCCCGGCCGCTCCTCCTGGGCAGACGCCACCAGCAGCCACTTCCGTTGCCTTCCAGCTGCCAGCCTGGCCCTGGCTCTGAACGGCGTCTTCACCAACACAGTCAAACTGATAGTGGGGAGGTGAGTGCCCAGCGCTACCGCCCCCGCCCCAGGAGGGCGGGCGCACGCAACTGCTGCCACATCTTCCCCGTAGCCTTTTCTCTTTATTCTCAGTCTGATCTTTCTCTTCTAACAAACACTTCCTCCCTTCCCTCTACCTCGGTCCGTCGGGTGACTCCCGGGCTCTCTTCTGCCCTGAACAGCATTTCCCACTGACACCGAGTCGGTGTCCTCCAGAGCACCCCCAGAAGCTGCAGCACGACTCACTCTTGGCCCTAAAAAGTAACTATGTGCCACAGTGGCTTTTTTTCCTTCCTGGTTTAAATATTGACCCTGGAAATCAGGCTTTTCTCTTAGTGGTGACTATCCAATCCGGTTTCACTGTTTTGCCTGGGACACTATTTGACTGACAGTTAAGAAAGGTATCTAACACAACCACAAAATAATTTCTGGAGCTGTAAATGATCCACGTTCAGACCTTGCCTATTTCTTGCAGGCCACGCCCAGACTTCTTGTACCGTTGCTTCCCCGACGGGCAAGTCCATCGTGACTTGACGTGCACAGGAAACGAGGACGTGGTGAATGAGGGCCGCAAGAGCTTCCCCAGTGGACATTCTTCCTGTAAGAATACCACGTGGACTCTACATCTATGCTTTTTTGGGGGATCACTGAATTTAACCTAGGAAGCTTGTGAGGATGGGAACATTTCATGCACTCTTGTTCTTGTATCTAGAAATCGGCGAGCCCCCTTCTTTAATAACAAGCTTGAACCTTGAATATTAAATATTCGAGGACAGAGGAAGCAGTTTACCTTCATGAAATTTGAACATTTTATTATTACTGTATTATTTGCCTAAATCCTGCAATCTTGCTCCAGTCATAAAAATATTAACTAACCTTTATTGAAGAGTTACTGCTTCCGAAAGCATTTTAGATTCCTGTCTCATTTGATACCATAAAGAGCCCAATGAGATGGGTGCTGTTGTTTTTATGATTCCCATTTATGCATCAGGAAACTAACGCATCAGGAAGTGAAGTCCCATTGCTAGGATTCCAAAACTATTCTCCGGGTAAATGTTACTCACTTTGGGAAACGGTCCTTCATTTTCCCTTTTGTTTCCTTCTCCCTCATAATTGACGATGTAGATCGATGATCTACACCAAAAGTTACCAAAAGGGATAAAAACATTCATACCCGCTAGCCTCCTCTTTTTCTTTAAAAGACATATCCTTAGAGGTTTTCCCTCTTCTAGTTGCATTTGCTGGTCTGGCCTTCGCATCCTTCTACCTGGCGGGGAAGTTACACTGCTTCACACCACGAGGCCGAGGGGAATCTTGGAGGTTCTGTTCCTTTCTGTCACCCCTACTCTTTGCAGCTGTGATTGCACTGTCCCGCACCTGTGACTACAAGCATCACTGGCAAGGTAAGCAAGGCATCCAGGCCATGGACGCCTCCACCGTTCTCCCATCATTTCTCCCTAGCACTCGACGCTCCCTGGGTGTCTGCTGAATGAACAGACAAGTGAGCAGAGGATGGTCCGCGTTCTGTACTGAGTATGCGTTTATCGCTACACGGAAAATGAAAAAGCACACTGTTATCTTTTAAACAGATTACCAAGGAGGAACATTCTGATTTTCCCATGACTTTGAAGCATCATAAGTTCAGAATAAACTCTATAAGAAATTTTTTACAACCAACCTCAAAATTCAGTTTACTTACTGTCTTAAAAATCAAGTTCACTGTCGTGAGGTTTTTGTTCAGAAACAAAAGTAAAATTCAAGAAAACATAAAATTGTAATTAAACCAACGAAATTTAAGTTGAATGATAGAGTAAAACATCCAGATATTTGCACAGAAAGCCCACAGTTCAAAAAAAAAAAAAAAAAATCTGAAAGTATTGCCCAGAGGACCTTAGGAGCTCAGTTTTAAAGAATAAATTTTTGCAAAGAGAAGCAACTCCTGAAGATTTTATTCCTTCCTCTAGAACACTTTAAATGGTGAGGAGGAGTTGATAGCATTAAGTGAACCTTCATTATTCTTCTCAATTAAAAATATTCAATGCAGTGAACTCAGAAAAAGCCTTGTTACAACTACCCAACTAAAGATGTGTTTTGATTTGGTGTTTAGAGAACATCCTGCAACTGTAGGATAAAATTAAGAAAACCCAACAAACCCATAAGCCTGGAATTGAGGGGGTTTGCAGGCTAAACGAGTAGGCTGGAGGGCCAAGCTCCCTCTGCTGGGTGGCATCACCGTGACTGAGGGAAGGCCGGTCTCCTCTGCCTTCAGATGTCCTGGCCGGATCCGTCATCGGCCTGACGTTCGCCTACGTCTGCTATAGGCAGTACTACCCTCCCCTGACGGACGCCCAGTGCCACAGACCACTGCAGCGCAGCCCTGCTCTTCCCACCGCGCAAAAGCAGCCTGGCGACCCTCGTCATTTTGATGTTTAGACACTGGAGCTGCCTCCCTGGAAAACAGGTGAATCAGCCCCTCCTAACTCACCACGCCCAGGACAAAAATTTCTGACCTTTTTACCTCCTGAGAGGTACAGGTGAGGAGAGAGGCCCCCATGATCATGCAGTTTTGCCCTGGCTCACAGGGATTTATCGCGAGGAGTCAAGGTTCTTTTTCACTGCTGTTTGCCACGCATTCCAGTAACGAGATCTTTCCATGGTCTTTCCAGCTTATGAATGTGGCCCATCAGATTGGTATCCCAAGATCTACAGTGTTTTTACACTTTAGTACTGTTCTTGGAATGATTCTGTCACAAAGAAGCTTTCACGTTAGCCCCACTTTATCCTAGAAGCTAGCGTTGATGATCAGAACTTAATTTCCATTTCCCATAGCTCAAAATCTTACAATCTAGGGCAGGAGCAATTAAATTATTTTAGTTCTGTTTACTTTCTCTGGTGGCAATTCCATCACGCCTTAAATAGGAGAATCTCCAATTCTGGCTTATTTACTACTGTGCATATCTTATTCAAGTCCAGCTAAGTACTGCTGTCCATTTTGAATACTGTAAACATAAACGATTTGATAATTTGTTGAATTACTGAGTAAACACAATAAAAAACTGGTCAGGAGCGTGGATTCAGTACTCACTGTCTCCACCTTACTTGTGTAACTGTGCTCACGAGCTGCTTTCCCTCCACTCAGGACTGAAGATCCGCCCAAATGCACCAGCTGTGCGAAGCAGCCAAGGCAGGGCAGGGTAGTCAGAGACAGGGCTGTCTGGAGGGCAGGTGAGTCTCCTCCCGCCCCACCCTCACTGTAGGGTATAATGGACCATGACGGGACGTTGGCGGAACTGATGGTGTAGGACCTATAACGGCCTTTCTCTGTGTTGTGATTATATTTCGTTTTCTTTTTGTGATTATATTTTAAATATGACCTTGATTTGTGTATTTCTATAACGTATTTCAATATATCTTTTTCCTAACGGTGAATGTGGTTTTTTGTGCTTAAAGTTCCATTTGAGACCTGAAACATTTCCAAAATTAGACACCAGATTCCCTACCTGACACAAGTGATTCCACTATCTACAGCAGTGGCTGATGTCAATAATACCAGAAGAGCATCTCGATATTTACCTTATAATCGCCGCACTTTAAATCAACAGTCAAGGGGAAAGAACCTGAATGTTAGTTCTTTGCCCAAAACTCTTTTTAAACTTGTTTTAGTCGTACACAGGGGAAGAGAAATGGTTATTGTATTGACTCTCTTTACTTTATGATGGATGAGCCAGGTAAAAGTAAGCAACTGGTCAATATGGTTTTATTTCAGTATTTACTAAAGTTTTAAATATAATCACATAAAAAAACATTTCAAAAAGTGCAAAATATCAGAAAGCTAATCAGTGCTATTAATCTTTCCATGCAAACAATCTCTTTTGCTGAGATAAGCAATACCAGTTCTGCAGCTGGGAACACGTAGAAAATGATACTCTACCAGCATTTAAAAATAGGCTCGGTCAGGAGATTGCACATGATACAACTGAGGCAGTGCAAATAATGTACAACTAGACAAGGGGCTCAAGCTTACTACCCTGTGGAATATACATCCGGGATGCCGGCACAGGGCGACAAACAGGGTATAAAGCTCTTATCCAGTCACCTGCCCCTCACCACCAGGAAGGAAACATTTCTCAGTACAAACAGTGGTTTATCTAGCCATCCAGGTTGATCCTGTTCATCTCTGGTTACAGGGACTCACGCTTGCTGGTCCTTTGGTTTACTCTTAAATTTTAGTTCTTCTGTTAGTAGGAAGACCAAATTTAAATTTGAAGGCAACAACTTGATGAAAGCTTCCCCTTTAATGTGTACTGAACGCTACTGAATCCTCAGTAACCCTTACTTCACACTCAGAGTTTATGCAGTAAAGAAAATAAAGTATTGCATATAGATGAGACTTCTTAGTGGCTTAGCATTAGTGTGTAAGCAGATGGACAAGGTAAGGCCAGGCTCTCACCTTTACCCCAACCTTATCTCTCGGGTGACAGTAATTAACCTTCCCTCTGCTGTCAAAGAGATGGCTTATGTGAATGTTAAATTCCAGGGCTTTGGATACCATGATACATTTACTTACAAGAAACCGATATAAAAAACGAAACACAGCTTGCCTGTCTACACCGCTCTGTCCACCAGGGCCTGTAGGAACCTGAGAGGAGTGTGAAGGACTGTCACAAAGAGAACTGCAAAGACAATCACAAACTGAGACCTGTGAGAAAGAAAATACCTACAGCACAGTGGTGAGCAAGATGCCTTGGAAACAATTAGTCTCCATTCACTCGTCTTCTTCAAGGTGCATCTCACTTGCACGCTCTGACACTGACTCTGCACCAGCTGTTCCTGGCCCCATAGACGCAGGTTTGTCTTTCAGAATAAGGAACACTTCCCCCTAGCCAGATCTACCAACACTGCCTGTGCCGGGAGCCTGTTCCATAGCATCCTGCACTACAGGTACCTAAGAAGGCAACGCTGTTTATGTGCTTGAAGAGGACACTCTTCAATACTCCCTTCACGCAAGCAGCTGTGGCAGATGGCTTACACAAATTCTATTTCACCATCAATGTACCACTAAAACATTTCATTCATCACTTAATAAGCAGTCAAAGCTGTGTAATTTCAGGTCTGTCAGCTTTTATAACCCTCAAGAACTAACAACTAAGTCAGACTTTGTCTAGAGTCTCCCAGTTTGAAGTATGATGTGATATAAAAGGGCAGGTCTAGGATATATAACATCTCTGCTTTATAAAGATGCACCTGATGTGAACTAAACTGTCCACTTTAGACTGTCCACTGAGAGCAGCTCAAACAGCTGTGGAAACAATGAACAGCATCAGTGATTCTTAGCATTAAATATGTCAGTCAGCTGTAGAGAGAGTAAACAGTATTTACAAATTTTAGTCTTTCTTCATACAGTACGTGTAGGAAATAAAAGCTGGCTCAAGAGAATCTGATGGCCTCCAGTCTCCCTCATTCACTTAGACTTGGCCTTCAAATGCAGAGAACACCCATGAGCGATGAGCAGACCCCAAAATGCCTTCTGAATCTCAGGAGTCCACTTCCAGATTAGAATATTTTCTAAAGATAAGCAATAATTTCTTAGAAAAATTTATACCCAACCCAAAACAAAAACTCAAACAGACTTTATACCATCTCAAGTAATAAGCAATAAAGTGTGGTACCTAACAGAAAAACAAATACCATATGCTAACACATATATATGGAATCTAAGGAGAAAAAAAATGTCATGAAGAACCTAGGGGTAAGACGGGAATAAAGACACAGACCTACTAGAGCATGGACTTGAGGATATGGGGAGGGGGAAGGGTAAGCTGTGACAAAGTGAGAGAGTGGCATGGACATATATACACTACCAAACGTAAAATAGCTAGCTAGTGGGAAGCAGCGCATAGCACAGGGAGATCAGCTGGGTGCTTTGTGACCACCTAGAGGGGTGGGATAGAGAGGGTAGGAGGGAGACGCAAGAGGGAGGAGATATGGGAACATATGTATATGTATTAAGGCAAAAACTAACACACCATTGTAAAGCAATTATACTCCAATAAAGATGTTAAAAAAGTGTGGTACCTAAATACCATCATCAAAGTATTAAAGATGCAAACCACTCCCAGCTATGAAGAAAGAATGGCAAGTGTTTCTCTGAAGCCAGTGGTAAAAAGTAATAGGGTCTTCCCTTTGCTTTTCCACTCACTTCCAGAAAGGAAGATTATCTTCCAAAGACTCCAGTGGTGAGTAAGTGGCAGGCAACCTGCAGGAAATGACGCAACTGAGGAGAGGAAAACTGCAGCAACAAAGAGGCAGGTTTTCTGGGGAAGGATCCCTCAGTGTCTGTCTAAGGGAGAGAGTTTAAGAGGTCATCACGCTGGAAGGCGACCAGAGAGAACGCCAGAGTCTGACACACACCAAACGTAAAATAGCTAGCTAGTGGGAAGCAGCGCATAGCACAGGGAGATCAGCTGGGTGCTTTGTGACCACCTAGAGGGGTGGGATAGAGAGGGTAGGAGGGAGACGCAAGAGGGAGGAGATATGGGAACATATGTATATGTTATAAGGCAAAAACTAACACACCATTGTAAAGCAATTATACTCCAATAAAGATGTTAAAAAAGTGTGGTACCTAAATACCATCATCAAAGTATTAAAGATGCAAACCACTCCCAGCTATGAAGAAAGAATGGCAAGTGTTTCTCTGAAGCCAGTGGTAAAAAGTAATAGGGTCTTCCCTTTGCTTTTCCACTCACTTCCAGAAAGGAAGATTATCTTCCAAAGACTCCAGTGGTGAGTAAGTGGCAGGCAACCTGCAGGAAATGACGCAACTGAGGAGAGGAAAACTGCAGCAACAAAGAGGCAGGTTTTCTGGGGAAGGATCCCTCAGTGTCTGTCTAAGGGAGAGAGTTTAAGAGGTCATCACGCTGGAAGGCGACCAGAGAGAACGCCAGAGTCTGACACACAAACTTCCTAACTACACATCTAAAGGGCTGAGTAACATAAATCCCAGGATGAGCTGTTTGTACTTAAAGCTGTAACTGTTGCCCTGGTAACTCTCAGATGGTCAGCTATTAAGATTCTGAGTTTAGATCCTAAAAATGGCAAGTATTATTGGACCAAGTCGCTAATAAAACAAACATACACTAACCTTTCTCTAAGTGGCCTACTGTGCTTTTTTTCCCCATGAATTTTAAGCAGAGTCCCTCTAAAAATGAGTAATAACCTGGATCTTGGTGACAGGCAACAAAAAGTATATTTATAAAGAGCTGAGGCTCCACAGTTCCTCGTCACATGTTAATATGTAGGAAGAGCTGAGGCTCCACAGTTCCTCGTCACATGTAATATGCTGCATACATGACATTTAAAAACTTACATTAAGCAGCCATAGGTGGTTCATTTTTACTGTAAAGGCTGATCAAGGAAGATACCCTGGGTTT